TTTTCCAGAATCTAACACAACCGAAACCATGTTATCATATTCCAGCAATCAGAAAAGGAAAAAGACTCAGCCCCTACTGCACCAAAAATTTGTCCAGTGTGATCCTAAACGGATCAATCGATCCATAAGAGCGGATGAAGCGAAAGTATTATATGAGGAAGACAATTTATATCCCGTAGCATTAGTGTGTGTTTTTTTAAGCGAAACAGTAATATCTAAAGAGATTTCGAGATCTTTTTGTAATGAGCATCTTTTACACCAAATCACTTGTGTGTGTTCAAATATGAAATGCATAAATAGTGACGTAGCAGCTCTGGCATCAGCTTGCGACGTGATTGATACGTTGATGAACTTGAATAGAATAGTCAGAATGACTCCTTTAATAAGATCAATAAATGAGAAAGGTGTATTGGTAGACGTGGACCATAGATCAAGGTGATCAATGTAATCGATATCTGTGCATTGTGTTAATTGCGCGAGGTAACTTTTTGAAGCTTCAATTATAGCATTTAATTGGTGATACACAGTGATGCAGGTCCATAAATGAAAATAATTTTCAAATTCAATGTTGCAGCGGTTACATTTCCACGACTGGTCATATAGTGCAGGATGGCGGATTTTAAGCACTTCTAAGGTTGGTAGCATCTCGAGGAGCCTTAGTAATTTCTTTCGTTTAAATGACGATGCATTAAAATTTGTGGTCAATGGAGAACTATTGTCAGAGATATAGAATGCTGTGGTAACCCAGTCTACTGATAACGTGGAGTACCGATGATTAATATCGAGGTTTAAAAAGGACGTAAAAGTGTCTACACGTAAGTATTCTTTAACGAAGGATCTGATTGGAGAAGCAATCATAAGGTCATTGAATTTAATCGAAGTATGAGATTGGTCGTTGATTGTAAAATTGAGGGCAGGAGAGGATAGTGCAGCTTTTGCCAATTTATCAACCGCTTCATTAGCTGAGTCGCCTGCATGTGCTTTAACTTTATGAAGTGTGACAGATAGAGATAGCGCGTCGATGACATGAAAGATACCATTCCATAAGTAAACGTTCAAGATTTTTAAGAAAGGTCGTTGAGAAGGTGAGATGAGGGATAATAGCCTATATCTACTGAATTGCGATATAACCGTGCTAGAATTCGTATATATTTTGATACGACAATTTGATGGCGCCATTAAGATCGCTGTGAAAACTGCCGCTAATTCAGCAGTAGAAGACGAGGGGAACGATGTTGCTAATGCAGAAGAATATGATAACAATGGTGCAGAAGGTGCCGTTTGAAGCCACGCCAGACTCATTCTAAGTGCAGGGTTGCCAAGCGAAACGAGAGAGCCATCTGTATAAAATTCTAAATTAGTAGAGGAAATGAAATTCGATCTAAGCATTAAAAGAGTAGCTGAATGTGAAGATGGAATAAATTGTTCAATGAAGGAAGGAGGAATTAATGGAATAAACGGGGTAGCCAGTGCACGAAGGTGAGGGTTGTTACGTTGATTAATGAAAGTGATAGCGAGATCTCGAAGAAGATAGCGTGACCACGAACACCAAGGAAATCTTTCCACACTATTATTTCGTAGTGTAGGGATAAAGAAACAAAGGTCTCTAGGGATAGTGAAAAAACAACGGTTATCACTATCTTTTGTCTGTGGTGGTATTTTGGTAAGGGGATTATGATAAATACACCTAGTACAGGGTGTAAGTATAGTTCTATGACTAGTATTTGTAATAGGTTCGACATGCATAATGTTCGCTAAGTTAGTACTCGTTCTAAGAAGCTTGCCGAGAAATGGTTGATTGTCACCTAGGTTCCAACCAAGTACATATGGGTTGGTTCTCGCTTCCTTTACCAGGGGTGCAAAGTTAAAATGATAATTCTTAATATGTGGTGTTTTATGTCTCAACTCTCTTGAAGTAATATCAACAGTTAATAAGGTTTGTAGCTGATTAAACCAAGCAGGTTCACGATCAACCTGCGGGAAATTTTGATAGACCGTTAAATCGAAAAGGGTTAACATAGTGTTACCATCTGATGTGGAGAGTTGTTCGGTAAAAATAAGCGACATCCTTCTTAAGTGAATGGCAAACTTCCGATACTCATTTGGTAAAATGTGACGTATAGGAGTTGAACCTCCTTTGATGCAATGCTGATCCATAAGAGGAATTTGAGTAGAGAAGTTTATATGTTTCCATTCACATAGGACGTTAGCGATCCAATCGTTGGGTTTAGAGCATTTAAGATACGGCCACTCCATAAGAGGTGATATATGTAACCATTCCGCTTGTTGAAGTAGACGTATGCGAAGTTTTGTCGATTTTCCTAACAAATTTGTGTCATTGAGTGAGTAGAGAAGTGCTTCACTTTGTGCTTCTAACTGCCTCGAATGGAAATTAGAAAGGTTGTAAAAGAGGTGCGAGTGGATGACTGAAGATGGAGTAGCCCGTGGTAAATTTAATTTCTTTTTCAAGAAAGAACGATATGGCGTAATAAGTTGGTCACATTGTATAGCGGTGAAAGCTGTAAGTTGCGAACGGTATTCAATTCTTGGAATTACAACAGTGTTAAAGATGTAAACCAATTGCTTATCCGTTAATTTTTTCTTAAACATAATGTTGATTGCACTTTTGATTTCATTACTGACCATCTTGAAAGTGAATGATTTATTTCTGAAAAGAGAAATCCAAACACCTAAATATCTAGTTGACTCTTTATGAGCGAGTGGTGTGATGTTCATAAGGCGTTCATTAATCATACAGCTAAACGGCCGATTATTCTTTTTATTATTAATCAATAAGACCGATTTGTCCCAATTGACTTTAATAAAGTTGAGCTTATAAAAGCTATCTGCGATGTTTAAAATTTGTGATAAATCATCCTGTGATTTAGCGATCCACAGGGTATCATCCATGTAAGCCAATGTCGATATCTTGATTGAGTCAGTCTCCTCAGTATTAAGAAGAACGTTAGGATTCCATATGTGGGAGAGAGAATAGCCCAAAGTTGAATTCTGTATTCTGCAAAGGAGAGGATCATAGTATATGCATCACAGCAGTGGTGATAAGATTTCTCCTTGGTCTATGCCTGACAGAACGCGATAGGAATCAGTGTTTCCAAAGAGTGTAAAAATTTGATTAAATCTATTGTCAAACATTTTTACAACAAAATGAATGAATGTGTTGGGGATATGAAGACGTTCCATTGCCTTGCAGAGCATATAAAGATTCACACGATCATATGCTTTAGACATATCTTGCATAAGTATCCAAAGATCTTTTTTATGGTGATCAGCATCATATTTCACATTATCTAAAATATGCAACGGTTCGAAGGTAGATTTGAAAGGGAGTCCAGCAAAGTTAAGACCTTTAAGGACATTGTGTTGGATAATAATAGTAGATAAACGTCGGTTGAGTAGCTTGATAAGAGCTTTTCGTGGACATTCCAACAGTGTTATAGGTCGGGTATTATTAAGGTCATATTCCCAAGGTTTTGGTTTAGGAATTGGATAAATAAATGCATGATTCCATCTATGTGGTAATAATGAGGTTTTAAGACATCCACAAATAATGTACCAAAGTGCTTTCTTCGTTTTAGGTCCAAGGTGTTTGAGCATTTCATTGGACACCTTAGATGGCCCAGTTGCTTTGTCATTAGGAAGTAAGTTGATGACAGAGTACCATTCATCAGCAGAAGGTGCTGCCATTAAATCATGGTAGATTTCATTATTAACATTGTTGAGGGGTTGATAAAATGGTATCCAGTCATTATCCAAAGTAACTGACTCATGTGTTGAACCTGCAGCCATTTGAAAATGTCTGGCTACTTCTTTTTTAACATCGCTTTCTTCTGTCAAGAGATCACGTGATGATGCAGAGTTATCGAGACAATGATCTAATAGGATAGTTTGTTTGGTTCGATTTAATAACGAGTCAATCATTTTGGAAGGAGAAGATTGATAGTTTTCAAGCCTTTTCTCAAGCGCTTGTTGGATGGATTTAAGTTTATGATCATTTTCATATAACTTTGCTTTGATTAAAAGGACTGCCAACGAAGTATCAATATAAGGCGTCAAAGACCGTATCAGAACCATTGTAGGGTCTTGTGGTATAGCTATAAACGGGATATCAAAGTTTTGTAAAATTTCATAAAATTTACTAATTTGTTGTTGCCAGTCTCCAGGCAGAATCAAAGAGCGACATGTATTCTTAACAGATTTTTTAAATTTGTAAATGAACTTTAAGTTCTTATAAAGTGATGATAAGAGTGGTGGCCATTTTAGTTGATGATGTCTTTTCGATTTATGTGACGGGATGCATTTTTTCGCTGCCTTGACTATACATTCTTGGAGCAAATCCCAAAAGAAGTTCAGGTTGGTCTGGTTAAATGAGACATTGTTATTTAACAATCTGAGCACACAGGCATCTGCCAAGGCGTCCGTTTTATTACTGAATTGGATCCATTTATCATCAGTCATTTTGTTGTAATCGAATACCGTTTTTAGTGGAATATTCCTCTTGTTGTTTTTAATATCCAAAAAATTTTCGATTGTTAATAGAACAATCGAGTGATCTGATAAATGTGAATCGACCTCAATAGTTTGACAATCTAATAGGTGGATCGCTGTTTCTGTGGAGACCCAAATATAATCAATCCGAGATGTTGAATTATATGATTTGAATGTGGGGTGATTAACCCGAAAGTGGTCGAATTGCAAAGAGCAAGAGTCGAATAAATGTGAGTTTTGTAAAGTGTAGAAGAATTTTTTGTCCTATAACGCAAGTCGTGGGTTGTCTATGTTTGCGTTAAAGTCACCCAGCAGAATGACATGAAAGTTGTTTGCTATTGCGCATTTGATTTGGCTAATAATGTTAGAATGGACAATTTTTTTAGCATTAGCATCAACAGGCGGAATATATGTATTAATAATGCGCAGCTTTTGTTTGTTTGCGAATTGAAGGTCAATGACAATGATACGGTTTAAGATAATTTCGTGGCGAAATATATGATCGGCTAGGTGACGTTTCAAAAGAAGACCGATACCATAACCAGTTGATTGTGTACTGGAAGGGAGGGGTAAACCAAAGAAACCATGATACTGCGAATTAAATGAAAGGTTAAATGGAAGAATTTGGGATTGAGTGAAATTAGTTTCTTGGAGACCAATCACATCTATATTTAATGAAGAATAGTATTCAATGAGAACACGTTGTTTAGCGGAATTGGTGAATGAACGAACATTATGTGTGGCGAATGATAATTTAGAAATAAGAGTAGAGTTAGGTAAAGTAGGAATGATTTGTGCATCTTGTGCAATGGAGTTTGTAAAGACAGAGTTCATAAAATAAAATTAAAAATGGGGGAGTCCTTTGAGATAGTCATCAATATCATTATCGAAGCTATCTCCAAGTGGGAAAAATGTAACGGCTTGGTCAGTTGGAAGTAATTGGTTCTTGAGTAGAATCGATTGGAAAGCTGAACAAGATTGAACCAATGTATTAACAGTGGCAGTGAAAGATTTTAATCTCTTTTGTTGCATTTCATTGATGCTACGGAGGCCATCAATTGTTTTTCTTTGACGTACAATGGTGGAAGCGGATGTGTTGATATGAGGTATCAAGTCATCTGTCATTTCATCAGCATTCAAGTTGTGCACCTCGGCTTCAACTAGGGTAACTACTTTGATATTAAGGGATTGCTCCATGGATTCAACTCGTTTAACTGTGAAAGCTAGCGAATTAACGAGAGTACACATTTGGGCAGTTAAATTAGAAAATTGTTGCTTAACAAATTCCTCAAAATTTGCCGAATTGTTATGCATAGAGCCACCCACTCTGGTTCCATTGTTTAAGTTCCCTTTAGGCGTAGGGCAGCTCATTTGATCAACTTGATAATCATAGTCAAAGTCAGTTGGAACATCATCTGACCAGGACACCGTTGGTTTAGCGACGTTTCTTTCCTCCTGTCGTCTTTGATATGTGTGGTTGGTATTGGATTGTTGATTTGGAGGTGTTGGACGATTACTGCCCGTGATTTTCTGGTCGTCATTTTGTGAACCTTTGGTCATGTGAGCAAAAGTGATGTTAGGAGTTACTGCGCCTGTCAACTTTTTGGATGGTGCTTTATAATTGGAGAACTGGGCCGGTTGAAACCGTTGATACAAATTTTGCATGTTACGGTCAGCAGGTCTTTTTCTATGTTTAGGGCATTCACTAGCTTTGTGGTTAGGTGATGAGCAAATTGCACAAAGTTTAGTATTATAAGCGGTCCAAATCACGTGTTTGCCGTCGATGGTAAGGTTTTCATTGCTAATTGCGGCTTCAACGTCATCGTTCGATGCGAAATAAAAGAACGCGTGTTGAAGATTATGATAATTAGATCTTGCTTTGGGAATAATCCATGAAGTAGCGTGCACCATATTTGCAATATCAATTAGTTATTTGCCCGTAGTATTTCTTGGCAAACCCGCAAGTTTGGCTGAAAACTTTGATTTTTCTCGGATTTCCTTACCAGAGAGGTTGCACATGTGAACCCTGACCATGTCATTGAGTACAAAAACACTGGTACATTTTTTAATTCCCCGAAGTTCGTATTTGATGCGTAAGTGATGGTGGCTTGTTGCCACATGTTCTTAGTTTCCATATTGAACCGGACAATCGTACCGTAATGACAAAATGTAGTTTTAATTTGGTGTGACGTGGCATTCAGGGGAATTTCCGTAACTTTGATCGACATCGCAGGAATGTA